TATCGACTATAGAACAAAACTTAGAAAATCCAGTTCAAAATACGAGGAGAAAGGGAAAAGAACGACGCAAATATTTTGTAGCATCATTTTCGCACGCGTTGAAATGACTGAAACTAAGAATCAAAAATCCTCTACGCATAATATTCGTAATGGGTCGCAGCATACACCAACTATGTATATCACATTTCGTTTAATATTTATACACGAACAATAACCATGAAACAGCGTATGAGTTGGCAACGAATAAAAACGATAACAAAAACGATACAGCTAATTATCTATCAGTGGTCGGTGCAATGTTTTCACCAATGGGACGAAAAGCGTCGCAAATATCAAGTGTTTCGAACATTTACGCGGGTCACTATCCCACACACACGTATATACACGAGAGACAAGGCAGAGCAGCTGGCCGCGCATAACCGAGAGAAAACACATTTTTCAAAGTACAGAAAAAGATTGAAAACAGCCGAGTCAAGACGTTCGCACGCTTATCTTCGATATTGACTGCTATCCCCACTCTAATAGTTGAGACATTGCATCCGTAGTTGATATTTATTTGTGTACCGCTTCACTGATATTCGATTTGTCCTCAATAAATATATAACTTGTTATTCGCAAGTAATTAGAAGATAGAAACAGTTTTACATTTGAAATATTTGTGAATTAACACTTGATGTTTCCTTATGATATATTATATATCATTAAAGTAATAGTAAATAAAAATAATATAATAATAACTGAATAGTCGAATTTTCATGAGATACGCGACATCATAACTGATCAGTATCGTACGTAGACAGAGGTCGTTAGCACTGTGACGGCCAGAACCAATAATATGCCAGCATGCTTCGGAATCGCATAGCTGCGTGAGTAGTCGACATCGTCCTTACTTTTCTCGATCGATCGATTATTGTATATATGTACTTTTTTACGATGAATTTTCATGACCCATCTCTAAATCAACGACATATTTATTAATATTGTTGTTAACTATCATTAATACTACTATTATTAATGCTACCATTGTGATTACAACGCAATGTATTTTTTTTTTTCAAATTACGTTGCGCAATATGCAATGCATGGAAGAAATTTTTTTTTCATTAATTTTTTGATTGACGTAATAGATCGTTTAATATTCAAATTACACATTGGAAAAAAATGAAATGTTCATTTAAAAGCATGTTGAAAACAAGAAGATTAGATGAATAATTTTGCTCGAGGTTGGAATGATGAAAAAAGAAGAATGTTATTATAAACAACAGGAATAAAAAATATAAATATTCTAAGCAAAGTTTTTGTTGGTTTCCTCTAATTTCAATCGTAGACAGTTAACATACTAATTATAAACTGAACTACTAAATTTTTAGTTGTGTAATTTTGAATATTAAAAAATAAAAATTTAAAATAATCATAAAAATATTTCATGAATTTCAGAAGCGATTCAATTTTATGTTTTTGATATATCATATATCAAACAATTGATGATTGTCTTATTTTTTGTAAAAAAAAAAAATTCATAAAAATTAAAAATGCGAAGGTTCCAATTTCTCATGTCTAATTTCAAAAATACTTAAAAGAAAAAAATCTATGGTTTAATCATGTCATGATGTCAATCGGTAATTTTCCAATGTGTCGCGAAAACTGATCAGTTTGTTCGTACTTTATTTCTGGAAAAACCCATTTCCGCGCCGACGATGACATAAATTACTAAGACTAACACACTGCTTTGGGTATCTGCAATGACGTCAAGTAATTCCTCTTTTTCGAAAAGTTTAATAATTTGCTATGACGCATCATCAATGGAACCATTGACGCAAGGTATGAATAAGATAACATAATTTCTAAAAGAAAAAAGTCTACGAAAAATAAGCCTCACATAATAAGATTTCATAATTTTCGTTCAAACCTTGATAACTTTATTTCAAACGAGATATCATTCCAAAAATGATATAGAGGTTCTTTCAATGATATAGAGGTTTGTTTCAACAAACAAGAAAATAATAACGATTTAATTTTTCCTCTGATAACAATTTTTTTCATACCGATCGTAAGCAATATTTCAGATAAGTAGAGCACATAATTGTTCGTGTAAAAAATATTTAATATTCTATCACATTTCACAGAAATATAAAGTGTAATGGTATTGGATAATCTACGTCACAAGAAAGAAAAAAAAGAATAAGAAAAATAAATGAAAAATATGCATAATGTCATATCAGACTATTATAAAAATTGAAACAGCAATTCGTAAGTTGGTTTGCAAAAATGACGAAACTGATTAGAAATTTTCCGAGAACGAAAAATTTCCGTGTGATGATAAGCATAGAATTAATCGTCCTCGACTACTGAGCGACTGTATTCATAGAAAATAATCTGATTCGTAATGATGAGTCACGTTGAAATCATTCTGATTTAAAATTTCACAATTTCAAGACGCAATTTCTGTTCAGAAATACGAAATATTTTTTGAACACGTGTAAAAATCTTGTATTTCGCGGCCTAACTCAACTTCTGCTTCCCGCGCTTTTGTACCAACACACAAAATAAACAAAACTCAGTTATTTTGATTGGTTACACTTTGACGCGCTATCTTGGAGCATCGAACGCGCGTGCACGTGCTGAATCGTCAGAAACAAATCCAAGTGTCAAGAACCGCGCCTATGCTTCGAAGGTAATAATATACACAGCTTGGGATATATATATATGTATATATTCATTCTCGAATCGTTTAAGGTTATGTTTGTTCTGAAAAGCAAGCACGGCTTCCGCGAAAAGTATCACTTCGAAAACAGACAAAAACATCGAAGAAATCGTCCATGTTCATTCGCGTAGAATTTCGGGGGCACAATGTTTCGTTTTGACTCGACCGTTGTCCTACGAATGCTTGCTTGTTCGTCTCTTTCTCCTTTTTCTTCTCCTCTTCTTCCCTCTCTCACTCTTTCTCCCCCTCTCTACACTTCTCTGTTTATTTTCCCTCTTTTCGTTCTCTGTTCAATTGTATAAATGTTCATAACACATATACACACGAATTATACAAACAGTGAAAATATAGGAACAACGCGTCAATGAAGGCGTGAGATTGGTTGACAGGCGGCGTCGTAGTCGTTTCTTAACGACACTATGACTGTCATCGACATCGTCATCATTATCGTCATTGTAATAATATTAAAATTTGCAATCGGAAAATTCATGTCGACGCTTCTGTCGAGACGCGAAGAGTGGGAGAAAGCGCGTTTACACGCAGCACGAGGAAGGGGGACGGCGCAAGAAGGGAGAGAGTAAAAAGAGAGGGATAGAAAAAAGGAGGGAGAAAGAGAAAGAGACGCCGGTCTAACATGGCAGACGATGCCATGCAGGCAGGAAAAAACAAGATCTAACGTTTGAGCGTGTGATAGACGGAAAGACAGTTGAGATACACGTGAATAGAGAAAGTATTTAGTGCGTACTCACGTTTTCATGTATCAGTTTGCTGCGTTGCCCTTAACGTAATTAAGAGAAAAATAACGTGCAGAGAAGAGAGAAAACACCACGCGGGGTCACGCACTCCGTTCCGTGCGGGTCTCGTCAACGGAAAAACAACACCCGGCGTCCTTTTCCGTTTCTATATTCGTTGTCGATTGACGGAACAGACAAAGTAAACCACCGGCACCACACAACAACAGCGCGTGTGTTACAAAGTGCGTCGCCTTCGCTTGTTGTTTTTGATAATGCAGGTGTTGCACGGGGCGTGGAAGGGTGCGCGGCACATACAAACGTTTTACGCACGAGGATCCTCTCTAACGAGGAGACGTGACGAACAAAATGGCGTTTACCGGACCGCCCGCGCGCGATCAGGTGGAAAATGCCGGAATGCTGCTGCTAGGAAAGATCGACTGACTGCCGAGGTCCGCGGCCCTAAGTGGTTTGACGTTAAGAACGAGCTGAACGAGCAAGAAGGAGAGACAGAGATAGACAAAGACGGAAGGAAAGAAAGAGGGAGACAGCCAGTAAGAGCGAGACAGAGAGGGAGGAGGAAGCGACTGAGAGAACCGTCGAGTATGAGAGAAACAGAGAAACATCGAGCCTAAAGGAAGGGATGCGCGCGATGGTAGGGGCTGAGGGATGGTCAAAAGCAAAAGAGGGGAAACATCCCACTATTTTCCACTGTCCTCGGACGATTTCGACTACCTTCGATTGCTTTCGACTGTAAGCAGGGCCGTCTCGCATTATGTCTAATACGGGTGGGAATTTTCCCGCTGTTAGAAACAAACGTCGTAAACGTCCTTACGAATCTTATAAATACTTTCAAGTATGCATACATCTCTTTGATATCATTATTTCATATATTTCATCATTTCATTCGATGTAATTTTTAAATTTAAATTTTTCACTTATGAACAATGTTTTTGCTTTATATATTTTTTTTAATTATTATTATATTATTCATAATGGAAAAAATATATATATTCAATTAATAATGCGATATTTTGCATTTTCTATTACTTTCTTCCTCATCGTTTCATGAGTTTTTCGATTTCATTCTAAATTTAAATCTCACAATTTAAAATGAAATTTCCTATCTTTTTTCATTCAAATTTCAAATTTTATAACAAATGTCATGTAACGTACAAACATTTTTCATTAACGTTTCATAACATATGTCAAATATTCGTTAAAATTCTTTTAAAAAAGTGATCTTATCCATGTATAAAAATAATTGAATGTAAATTTAGAACGAAACATTGAAAGAAATTATGAAATATAAAAAAATATTTATGAAAATGAATTATATGTATAACGAATATTCAAAATATCAACTTACAGAAAGATAATAAAAATATTTGATTCGAATTAATATCCCCGGACAATTTGCACTTAAACATTTCGCGAAGACACAAAACATGCGATGTTTCGTAGTTTGATAAGTCCCCAGTTAATTACGTTCTTAGTTTGTATCGGACATTGCCCATTAAAATGTTTCATAAAACAACGCTGCACCGCCCTAGAACGTACGATGGCTCGAGGACCGCGTTTCTTTTCCGGCTGCTTCGTTTCTTTTCTTCTTTCCTCCTTTTCTTCGTACCTTCGCCCAGTTCGTTTCGCTTGCTCGCTCACTCTTCCACGTTCGCGTTCGACCGTCTCGCGAGGAATTTCTAAAAATCAATATAGGCGCAAAGCGAGGAGGGGCCGCAAAAAAATTCGATATCCCCTTCGCTTCGTTCCTTTTTATCTTTTTTAACGTCTCTACGTTTTTTTCTGCAACGCGAATTGCGCAGTAGAGAGGCTCGTCCCCTTACGGTCCCCAGAGGGAAGGATGGCTATTCGAATCAACTCGATCTTCGAGGAACAGAATTTACGAAGGAAGTGGCTATGCGAATCTACAGGCACTGAAGAAGCGCGGGAGAATTTATTTTCTCAGAAGTGTAGCGTGGCCTCGGTACAGTCTCTGCCGTTACCGGTTGAATAATTTCATCCTTCCGTCCCAAGATAAACCTACGCTTCAGCATGAATGTGACCAAACGTATCACCAACATCAAGTTAGAGCTTTAATGATGAAAATATTTATTTTTTTCATTTAATATGTTTCTATGGAATTACTATGGAAATTTTTGTTGTAAAATAATAAAAAAAAAAATGAAGTATAATAAAATATGAGTATTATAAAATTTCAATAAAATCAATTGTAACCGAGATTGAAGAAAGATTATTAATTTTATGAATAAACAATCTAGAAATATTTACATTTACTTTGCAAAATACGAGACTATTGATCTTCTTTCGAAATTTTTGATGTTTTGAGTTATAGTTACATATTCGAATAAAAATTATAATTGATCCTAGAATGTTGAAAAAGATAAATTTTTGAAAGAGCAAAAGCAAAATGAAGATCTTCGAATTTAAATATAGTGCCACATGTATAAGAGTGCTTTTGAAAAGAAATTATTTTGCATCACTTACAAAATTCGTGCATTGAGAGTCTTTTACTCTAAATACAAATACTCGCTCTGAATTTTGTGAGTAATTGTCTAAGGAGTAAGTAATTTTTTTAAGTAATTTATCGAGCGTATTAACAAGAATAAAAGCTTGAAGAATCGAAGCATAGTATGTGTGTATGTATATATATATATACACACACACACACACATAATTTAAAAATCAGAATTAAAAATTGGCTGGTCCAATGTAATGTATCGCAGCCAGATGTAACACGAGCACTATACCAAAGGCTGATATCAAATGCTCTTGACGTTCAACTGTGTGTCACAGGGACATTTCAAATTATCAGTAGGGCTTTTCTTGCATCGCATTCCTTTAATTAATTGTTACATTTCTGTTAATAAGAGATGGATTTTCTGTGCCACACAGTCATAATAAATCAATATATTGTTCGTTTGCATAATTAAACAATGCATTAAACAATTTAAATAAATATTTTTTTAATTTTTATACAAAAAGAAAAATTAAATGAATCCGTTCATTATCTCATTATCGCGCATTGATAACTACTTTTTCAAGCTTCAATTAGCAGTGCATTAAAGAAATAGTGCTTAATGAAGATTAAAAAAAAGAAACAAGAAAATCGATTACCTCTTCTATCAACTTACCGAAAATTTGCTTTTTGGAAAATCTTTTTAATCAGAAACATTTGGAAATTGATATCATGGAGAATATTTAACCAATCCCGTGCTGTCAAAAAATAAAAATTTGGGATTGGTTGATATTCCAAGGTTGAGGACATCTTTTTATCTTTCTACATCGTATAATTATCCTGGTACCAAATAACAACTACTACTTACAATGATTTTTCTGTATAAGGATAAAGGCTCTATAAGTTTTTCAATTTATAAAAATGACATTGTATTTAATTTTGCGTTAATTTATATCAAATATTAGCATTGAGAATTAAATTTATAAGAAATAGTATAGCGTTATAACAAAATTATTAAACCAATACAAATTATTAAATTATACTAATAAAATAAATTATTGTAATTAATGTCTGTTTTTTTAATGTCAATATTACATACATAAAAACAAATGAATATCGTAAAAGATGAATTGTTTGTTTATGATAAGTATATTAAAAAATGTTTTTTTAAAAAGTCTCAGTCTAACAATCTAATTGAAAAACAATTTATCAGCGGCACGCATTCATATGCACAGCAAGATTACAAAATTGGACTTCTGATCAACGCACTTTATACGCGACATTAAATGCATACGCTTCTAATATACTCTACTGATTGAGTCTGATTGTCGACTGTAATAAAGTTCAACTTTATGCAAAAGAATAATTTTCTTGTTAAGCATGTGAACTTAAAACTTCAAGATAATATTTCGAATATATGATAAGAAAAAATTTAAGAATATTATTTATAAGATGAATATATACATGTATATATATATATATATATGATATAAAATATATTATGTGAATTTGTGTAACATAAAAAAAAATATAAATATATAACGCATAATATAACGTAAAAAAAATAAGCTTTCGTTCAATTAGACGATGTATTCAACATTTGTAAAAAAAAAGATTTAAATGATTGCAGTATTCTTTAGCCAATTCTTATTTTTGTCAAGATTAAGGTTATTTCGAGGCAAAATTCCAATTTCCAACTGTTGCGCAAATTGTTACGCGCAAACGCAGTTTCGGAGGCGTGGCGATTAACAAAGGGCCCGGAAATGGCCGATAACATGCTGTTTTCTATTTTCCCTCCCTTATCCTCTTCATTTTACGATCTTTTGGTAAATGGTTTGTCGAAATCCAAGTGGCCTGTGTTATCAAACCAAACTGATCATTGTAAAGGGATGAACAGCATCTTCCAGAATGATTTTTCCATTATAATATTTCCTCTGGAATTTGAGATACACAAGTCGTTTTATCACAATAATTATAAAAAAAAAACACTTATTTTATTTTTATTTTTCTTATTTTATTGTTATACTGGCACGTATCGCATATCAAAATTGATATTTTTAAAAATTTACACATTTTCACATTGAGTAAACTGAATTCGTTAACCTAGAACTGCGAACTATTACTGATATATAAAATATTATATATTCTATAATCGATCTGTTCAACAATCATACGCGTTGCAAACTTGTTTTTTTCGGGATATACAAAAATATTTGATAATTGATTTTTGATAATTGAATATTTTAACTTTTCGTAATCAAGTTCGATAATAATTTAGTTTCGGCGTCACAAAACCAGCACATAAAGTGCAATAGTGAACGTAAGGAAAAGTATTTCTATGTTATGCGGCGGCAAAAATAAAAGAATATAAATTTAATTTTTAAAAACATTGTCATTAATGATACTCTATACATTATAGTTTTCAATTTAAAAAAAAAAAAAAACTATTTAAGATTTATTTAAGATTTCACAGTTCATAAATTTATCATGGTAAGCAATAAAAAGTCAGTGAATTTTTAATTATTTTATATTAATTGTTGATTTGCATTTATCAAAAAATTCTGAAAATAAAACATTAGTTCAGAATTTTTATTGAAATATAGAAAAAGATTACCGAATTTTATAAAAAAATTCTCAATGTAAAAGATCAAATCGTTCCTAACCTTAAATTGTTGGTTTCAGGATGTATCTGCATTTTCCGAAGATACTTTCGATGTCAAAGATTGGATTAATAAAACATTCAAATCTGTCGAGGCACAAGAAAATAAAGATGTAAGTCATATAATTATGGTAATCTCAATTATGCGGGTTCTGTTTCTTTTCTCGACACAATTTTTGACTTCCAGCAGCACTAGTACTTTCAGTCACTAAACTGATTCTATTGGCGGTCAATGATATTCTGTCTTTTTCAAAAATATTCTTTTTTACTATGTTGCAGATTAAAGTGTAATCATTGAACAAAAAATAAATTTCAGAAATTTTTGAATCATGATTTTATGTATAAATAAATATTCGAATACGAAATCGTTATAATATTTGAATTTAAATGTTTTATGTATTTTCTGTTTTGCATTTTTCTATTTTTTTATTTAAAAAATTAAACAAAAATATTATATTAATAGGCATTTGTTTCATCTTTGGTAATGAAGTTGCAATTATATGTGCAACAAGTTAATGGTGCTTTAGAAGAGACTAGTCAATCTGTTCTTTCAAGTTTGCCAAGGGTTTTAAGGGATACACAGTTTTTACAACAAGAAGCTTTAGCTTTGAGAGAGAAAATGATTGCAGTTAAACAAGAAATAGAAAAGGTTGTAGTTAATTTCTTTTTTTATAATATATTTTATAATATCTATTATTACTATAATAAATTTGTTAAATAGGTTGAAAAAGATACTGCTTCATCAATGGCAACATTAGAAAAAATAGATAGAATAAAAACAGATTTACAAACTGCTAAACAAGGCTTACATGAAGCTGATAATTGGACTGTACTTGCTAATGATGTTGAAGAGGTATAACATATAACATGTATTAAAAGTAAATGAATCCTTATAAATTTTATCTTTATATTATTTTTAATATTTCAGGTATTTGAATCAGGTGATGTAGAAGCTATTGCAAATAAATTATTTAGTATGCAAAAATCATTGGCTATGCTTGTAAATGTTATTGATTATGAGGATAAAAAATTACAGTTAGAAGGATTAAAAAATCGATTAGAAGCTATAGCTAGTCCAAAATTAGTTCAGGCATTTACTGCTGCAAATTTAGGTATATTATATTAATCATATTATATTCTTTCTTATTTTATATTACTTGTATCTAATATTTTTGTCTTAAAATATTTAGAACAATCTAAAATTTATGTGGATATTTTTAATAAAATAGAACGTTTACCACAACTTCTTAAATATTATCATAATTGTTTGAAAGTATCATTAGGACAAGAATGGCGTCGCACTATTGAATTAGCTCAAGATGAAAATGTTTCTTACTGGTTACATACTTATTATGATAAATTATTATCTAGTTGGAATGATCAGGTAACTTTTATTTTAAAATATGTAATATCCTTTTTTTTAAAATAATATGATTTTAATAAAGGTAAAATGGTGTCATCTTGTATTTCCAAATACTTCAATTGATATCATAATTGATGTATATGCTGATCTTTTGAAAAGTTTGGATCCAGGCATTCCAGAATGTATAGAATCATTTTTAAAACAACATACAAATGCTATGCAATTGTCTTTGTTACTTGAACTTAAACAAATTACAAAGCATTTTGCAGTAAATTTACAAGGTGCAATTGAAACATCATCACATGGAAAATTTCAAAACTCAAAACTATTATCATTAGCACAAGCAATATATGCACCTTATGTTACATATGTTGTAAAATACAATATTTATGAAACAGCTCAACTTGAACATCAGTTACAATCTATGGGTTCTGCACAAGATGATTTAAGTGATACAATCAATATTCTTTCTCTTAGCATTTCAAGAATAATGGAATATGCAAATGAAGCCAATAAAAGATGTAAACTCTTCACAGATGGTTGTGGTTATCCTGGCTTATTAAAATCTTTGATTGTATGTTATTTTATAAATAACATTTTAAAATAAAACATCTTTTCTTCAATTGTTTCTTCAAAAAAATTTATTTTTACAGAGTTATTTTAATAAATATCTTGAAAAATATCAAGCTGCTATACGACAATTAGAACGTAAAAAAGTAAAACATGAAGATTGGAATTTATTTCAAATGTGTCTCACTTTAATGCAGACTATAGGTATTTTTATCTTTTTTTTTTTTAAATAAATTTAATATTAATTAAATAAAGTTATTGATCTAATTTTAATGCATAGGTGATCTTTTGGGACATATTCAACAATTTGAAAAATCATTAATAATTGATATTATTGAAGCTAATAATAAGCTACAAAATACATCTTGTAGTGTTTTCATTCAGTATAAAAAATTACTTTTAAATACATCAAATCAAACTGAATTGGAGAATTTGACTGCATCTTTCCAAAAAGGTAATATATAAATAATATATAAAAAAATATAAATAAATTTATAAAAATTTCTTAATAAAAATATAAAAATTTTTAAAAAAGAAATATTATTACTCATTTAAATCACTCTTTTTATAGAAGATGAAACAATTCTGGATTCAATAATGAAATCTATTAATAAACTATGTTCTGATTTGCATCGTGCAACATATGAAGTAATTTTTGCTCCTATATTTACACAGTTGTTATTAGTACAAAAAGCACCAGCATGGTCAACAGAAGCCAATAAAATGATTCATTTAAGTGCAGATTTACCTGATTATAGTTTTGCACCTCAAGAATATATAACACAAGTTGGACAATACTTAATGACATTACCACAACATTTAGAGCCATTTTTGCTTAGGGAAAATCCAAGTCTTACCCAAGCCTTAAAAGCTGCAGATCCACAATATACGCAAAGTTCTACTGAATCTGGATTTACCGATATTTTATTAGAAATTATTACTAAAGAAACATGTCAAATGTTTCTAGATCAAACATTAGGAATTTGTCAATTAAATTCTGCAGCATGCAAACAACTTGCAACTGACATAGGTATGTTTCTAATAAAATGATATTTTTTTTTATAAAAACTTGAATATTAAAAAAATTTTTTATATTTATTTAATATTGTAGATTATCTTGGTAATGTTTTGGAAGAACTTGGTTTATCTTTATCAGAAAATCTGCAACATATGTCTCTTTTATTAAGGCTATCACCAGAAGATTATCAGAACAGCAGTTCAGGATGTAATGCTAGACTTGTAGCTGCTGTTAGACAAATGAGAAATATAACGTTTTCTGCCTAAATAACATGTAATAATTATTAAGTAAATGTAATGAATATAGAAATACTATGTTGTACATTATGTAGCATTATGTTGTACAAATAACAATTATAATTTATCTGTTTTATGTATAAAAAATTTTTTATATATTTAAGGAAGTGATACTTGTACAAAAAGTGCGTTCATATTGTATTAATTACATGCAATATCCAAATTTATAAATATTAATTCTATTTATATTTTCTTTTTTTCATACTTTCCTTTTTTTGTATGAAAATATTGTCTCATATTATATAAAAATATTTATACTTTTTTTAATATGAAAAAATAAAGTAATAGGAAATATTTTAATATTTAACATATATAAAATTATTATAGTTAAAACATCACATATTAAATAAATAATCTGATTATTTATATATGATCAGCAAATAGTTATATCATTATTTCAATATTGCATTTATAACTATATTCATTGCATCATTTATATTTCTGAAAAAATAAAATTAATAAATAATTTTTTTAATCATATCACTGTAAATGTTAATATATTATTCATGTTCAGGATTGATATATATTATTATTTCAAAATTTAATAATACCTGTCAAAGCAAGTATTACAAGATTGCTTTTGGTAATGCTCTTTGGCTGCTAATGTCACGTTTTTAAGTCTATTAATAGTTGTTTTATCAGTTGATTTAAGCATTTTATATATTACTATCAGAGCAGAAAGCATGTCAATCTGAAAGATATTTGATACATAAATTAATTTAACTAAAATAATCGATTTTAAACATAATGTAAATATATTTACTTTTGTATAATTTGTTATTGTTTTTGTTAATACTTGTGTGCTCAATTTTTGGTATTTTCTTTTATTTAAAATAATTTTTAATATTTTTTTTGCTAAATAAGGGAATTGAGTAATTAAAATTTTTTCTTCTGTTATATATGAGCATTGTAACATATATGTTATTTCTGTACTTATACTATTGATTGCAGTATTAAACATAATAGTTATGTATGAGAGATATAAACTTTGATTGTCAAAAGTATTTTTAATAATTGTAAAATATTTTTCAGTTAATCCATTTAATAATTTCAAGTTCTGTAATTAATAATTTAGTTAGTGTATATTACATATTATACACCACAGTGTATATTATATATTATATTATATATTAGTATATATCATTTTAAATAATTAGTTACTTACATTCGTATATTTAAATAATTTATCTTTATCATATTTAGTTAATGTAACCATCATAACACATGCGAAATTTGGTACAATAATTTCTAATAAACTTGGTTCTTGTTTTTCATAAGCCATTTTACTAAAGTCTAATAACATTGTTATTGCATCAAATGCATTATTCATAAAAACTATACCAATTGCTGAAGATAAACAACTACAATATAAAAGTACAATATCACAGCATAATTTTGAAGTACTATTGTATTCTTCCAATAGATAATTTGATATATCAAAAGTACTTCTTATTATATTTATACAAGTTTGATGGTTTTCTATAGTATTTATATCTATCTGCGATATATGTGGTATTATTGTCCTGTATTAATAATAAAGGAAATGTTTATAATAACAATATTTTATTTATAAAAATATAGATTATTTATAAAAATTAAGAAATATATATAATTAATTTTCATACCTTCTAATCCACAATAAAATTTCTGAGAATTGTTCTGATGCTTCAAAAATATCTTTCTTATATAATATTGAAATCATTGATATATATTCTTTAAAAAATTGCACAATTATATCTTTGGATATCAGACTTTTTATATTGCACTCGTTATTTAATTCTTTTTCTATAAAACTTCTTAATTTATGTAAGTTTTTCCAAAATTTAAGTATATCTTTATGATATTTATTCATTAAAACTGATTGATATTCATCATGTAATAAATGTTTTAGAATTCGTAAACTTAATTCTAAACCTTTTTCATTAATTTGAAATACATCTATATTATTAATAACATGCTGTAAACATTTAATTATATTATTTTTTATCATTATATATATATATATACATTCATTATATATATTTATACCTGATTATTTAAACTTATATTTAAAGATTCTGTAAAAATATTCGTTAATGCAAACAAAATTGTATCTCCTTTATTCCATTTCATGAGAACATGTATAACTGATAGAATAGTGTCATCAGGGGTATTTGGATTACATAATTGTTGTAATAACATTTCAATAACTTCAATTTTATTGAAAAATAATCTCGAAGGAATTAAAGAAAATAGAAATATTACTGATTCATTTATTGGTGTTTCCTAAAAAAAAAATTAAGTATTAGAAAAATCTCTTCTTTATATTTCCATCTTTGAAAAATAAATTATTCTTACTTTAAGATATTTAAAAAATTCTGGTAATGCATGTGCAATTGCTCGTAAAATATTCATCTCTTCTTTATAGAATTTTTCTTCCTTTGTATTTTTAATATTTCCTATTAATAACATAGCAATAACATCAATATATATATGTACATCTTTATAATTATTAAGGTTTTTATTCCAACTATTCAAAGAATCTGTTAAAATAAACATAATTAATTTAATTTTAAATTTAATATATTATATATACATTATATTACCATTTATATATTTGCTTTTCTTATTATCAATTTTGATCTTTTTATTACAATTTTTATTTAATAATTTCATTAGAGGTAAACATTTAATTTCTTCTTTTATCATAACTAATAGAGTCTCAATAAGTTTAGTGGATGTATTCCAGCTTATAACAGGTTTAGAATGGAAACAAAATCTTCTAATAGCATTTATATTACTTGTACCTATATATGCTAATTCATCTATTATTTTATCACAGTGTGTACCATTTAATGATATACGTAACCAAATTAGTTTTATTAATTCTTGTAATAAAAATGTATCTTGAGTAGTCTAAAAATAATATAATTAAATTTATAAATAAAATAAATATAATTAAATTATTTTATAATAGTCAAAATTTTATTTATTATTATATACCTCTAAACGATCGAGAACATAAGTCAAAGGTATTATATTCCAAAATGGTATTCCAAGTTGATTTTGTACATGCCAAAGAAGTTTAATTAGTGCTTCTAATACCGCTTTATCTTCATCATAAATACTGCTTGCAAAATTTGGTAGAAAATCTATGAGTATTCTACGAGATCGTTCTTTAATTAATATTCTTGTTAAACCAATAAAAACATTTGCTCTTATTTTGGAATTATTAGCATTTTTTGTATAATGTAATAAAATGTTTAACCAATCTCGAATAATATTTCTTGGTACAAAATTCCAATATTTTTCTAACATCTTAAATAGTTCCTAAAAATATATACATTTTTAAAATATCGAAATATTATTTAAAATTAAAAAAATTAAAAATAATTTAAATAAACTAACTTACATTCATAGTAACATTACACACTTCAAAATCTGAATCTTTTAAAAGATCAGTTATTATTTTATAATATTTTTGAAGATAAATTTTATTTCTATCTTTTGAAGCACATGTATATTGTACAGAACTTGTTACAAAAAGAATTTCTACAGCATTACATCTGATGAAAGAACCAGGTGCCTGTAATAAAAACTTAATTTATTTTTCATAAAAAAATTTATATTTTTTATATTTATATTATATATACTTTTTTATATTTATATTATATAATTTATATTATATCAATTTCAAATATATATATATACATATATATTTTTAATACCTTTAAATGTTTCCAAAGCAAAGGTTTACATTGATTGTGAATCATTGACCTAGCTACTTGCTGTTTATTGTTATGTATAGCAGTAAGAAGTGACAGCAGATTTTTACCAAGTTTTCCTCTTCCAGCAGAATCTCTATATGCCCGAAAGCAATGAAAAATAATATTACATAAACAACTTTCAACAATAAATTTTTTTAATTTTTCAGTTGCATTTAACCATGCTATTATATATAAATCTGCATATGCAGCAATATAATTATGTCCAATATTTTGTAATACCACTCTTATATTATTATGTATTCCCTAAAACAATCATTGTGTTAATGCTAAGTATGATAAATATTAATATTTGAATATGTAATTATACTATACCAATATATATTGTTCGCCAAGTGTAAATAAATATAATATTAACATTCGACCTTCTTCTAGTGATATCACAGTTTTTTCTCGAACAAGTTTAAGTAGTTCTTGTATATCTTCTGCACATTTTAGTAATGTAATAGCAGATCTTATCTCATATAAACGCTTTACATGTTGCTAAAAATATAATTAATTTAACATCATTTGTTGATCTATGTATGATATATAAATATAAATATTATTAATTACCAGTGAAGATTTGCAACTTTGAATAAGATATTTTAATGCATTTATTATTACTTTTTCTTTCCATATCATGTTTAACATCCACCATTTTTCCAACAAATATGATATTTCATTCTTAATCTTAAAAAGTTTTTTAAAATTAATCAAGATTATATCAAAATTAAAATTTTTTAAAATATATCAAGAAATAAAATATGATGATTAAATACCAACCTGTTCATCCTTTACATTAAGTAACACAACAGAATGTAGTAACATTATATTTTGCAATAAAATATTGGGTACAAACATTCGTTGTACAATTGTTTCAAGAGCCATTGAAGTTATTGTATGTATCAATTTAACCATAATATTAAATTCCTGAAAAATTATGATATAAATATAATATATTTAATAATAATAATAATAATAATAATAATAATAATAATAATAATAATAATAATATAATAATATAATATAAAAAAAACCATAGAGAACATTTATATAAATAATCTTACTCTCAAATATTTGCCTTTATTATTTGATGCCTGAGTATATAATTTTTGTGCTTTTAATAGTATAGTTTTCACATGTTGCCATAGTTCACAAAGTTCATCTTCTGATAACAAGACAATATTTTTCACATTGTAATTCTAAAATAATAATTTATTGTAGTTATATTGTTTATTATATGATAAAACAAATAAAATAAACCTTACTATTTACAAATTTATTTTGAAGGTCATCAAAAAAATTAATTAATAATAATGCAAAGTATACATATATTATAAGAATATATATTTTAAGAATAGTGTTAATAAAATATGTAATTTTTATGCGTTGATAAATACCAATTTTTCACATATGTTGCTAA